GATATATCCAGAAATCATGCTCGATTAAGTCCAATACTCTCTTCACACATCATGCCAGACTCAACCGACCCACTGTGCTGTAGCAAGTCTTTTACCGACAAAACAAATCCCTCCATTTGATGCTCGAGCTCTTCTGTATTACCGTCTTGCCGGATTCCCAGGACCACAGCCAAGAACTCACGCCAAGACCACAGCGTGAAGACCCGGAATCGATGTACTTCATGTCCGAAGCCGTATCTACAAACTCCCCGCTCACCACCCGCAGACCTGCTGCAGAGCAGAGGAACACTGGCGCCTGCCGACCCCCGACTGCTGGGGGGGACCAGGCGCGTAGGGCATGTGGCTATCCCAGATTTCGTAATAAAGGGAGGGGGATCTCATTTCGGGGGAGGGGTCTCTTCCAGGCTATCTTGGAGGGCCTGGGGGGTCTGGGGACGATGTTTTGGAGGGTTCTCCCACGGGGGAGGTCTTAAATGGCTTGTCTTGGAGGGTCCAGACCCCCTCCCTTTTATTACGAAATCTGGAGTACCCCCCTCCCCTCTTTCCCCCTCCCCTGGGGTTGCAAAGTGTGTTTTTGAGGGGTGGGGCGGGGCGGAGGCCCGGGAAATCGTCCGCGCTCCTCCTGGGCCCCTGGAGAGACGGGAGAGCCTCGAGACGGGCTAGGAGAACCCCAAGAGGCCACCATGACAGGCCGAGAGTGCTCCAAGGCGGCCCAAGAGCGGTCCAAGACGCCCACGATGGCCTCCAGGCGGCCCAAGAGGCCCCCTAGACGCTCCTATGGCGCTCAGGTCCCCCCTGGTTTGACCGTTCTCGCCTTTTCGGGCTTCCGACGCTCAAAGAAAAGGCCTCGTACGTAGTACACAAACAGCCGAAGAGGGCACCCAGACGGCCCAAGAAGGCCCCAAGACACCCGAGAGGGCCCCAACACTCCCCAAAGAGGGCCTCAAGAAAGCCCTAAACGTGCCCCACTTGGGGGAGCACGTCGGACCCACAAGTTGAGCCCTACGCCCCAGGATGGTCCCGAGACCGCCACGGGGCCCCCGAGATGACCCAGAGAAGCCCCGAGGACACCCCGAAACCGCTTCCGAGCGGACGCCATGCGCATACGTCCAGCGACCTCTGCGGCCTCCACCCGCATTAACCTCCCCCAGAAACCAGCCCCGACGAAGTCTGAATAAAACAAGCCCAAGCGACAACCTCCGAAGGACTCACATGATCCAAAGAGGAAGCACGGGGGGAGGACCTCGACAATGCCCCCCAGAACATAAACACCTTCCCGTCGTCCTCCCTCCTCCTCCTCCTCTTCCTCCTCTTCCTACTCCTCCTCCTCCTCCGTCTCACTCTCACCGTCGTTGCCTTCGCCTTCATCCTCCCCCCCCTTCTGCCTCACTCCCAGGGGGGTCGGAGGAATGGCGCAAGCTTTCAGAGATCAGCAATGGCACGGCGAACGAGCTGCTGTCATCGAACGTCGGACCCCGAGACACGCCAGCGCAAGCCTCAGAAGGAGAGCAGCGGGCGGGCAGAAAACACCCCCCCCACACACACACACACACACACACACACACACACACACACACACACACACACACACACACACACACACACACACACACACACACACACACACACACACACACACACACACAGACACAGACACAGACACAGACACAGACACAGACACAGACACAGACACAGACACAGACACAGACACACACACACACACACACACACACATACACACACACACACATATGTGAAGGGGAACTGGGACACACAAAGAAATACACACAAATAAAACTATTCACCATATTTCCAATATGTTCGGGGTTTTTGTCTTCCCCCCCACTTCCCATATTTTCCCATAGTTTCGGGGAAATCGCCGATTAATTGTGTCTGTGTGCTTCTTTCCCTCCTGAATAAGGGAACCAGAAGGTACCGAGACCGCTACTCCCCGGGCCTCTCCCTGGGCGAGTTCTGATGCATGACTTCGAGGCGAACCCGGCGGTGGCCACGAGGGCTCCCCAGGAGGCCCACAGGAGGGGAAACCGGGACAGGGGCTGCGCTATGGGCACCGCTGCCTCCTCCGAGGAGCACCCCCAACAGTCGGGGATGGACAGACCCCCCTTTCGTAAAACGTGGTTTAGTGAAAACGACCTGAGGCCCAAACCTGGCGGGCGCAAGCCTGGAAAAAAACGGCCACGGCGCCCTCTCGAGAACCGAAAACGGACAATTCACTAATCGACGTGTCACTGTTGGGGATTCTGTCCACCCACGAAACAGGCCGCCTGCCCACGGGCGGTCTTGTCAGCGATGCGGGCCGCGGTGGCGACGAGCAGGTCCCTCACGTCCTCGGCGGTGCTCAGGGCGGCCTCGGCAGCGGCGGCCCCGGCCTGGCCCGGCCCGGGCCCGCATGGCATGCGGGCGTCCTCCTCCGGAGGAGGAGGAGTAGGAGGAGGCGGAGGAGGAGGAGGAGGCGGAGGAGGAGGAGGAGGGGGAGGAGGAGGAGGAGGAGGAGGAGGGGGGAGGAGGATGGGAGGAGGAGGAGGAGTTGGAGGAGGAGGAGGAGGAGGAGGAGGAGGAGGCTGGCGCGCTCGCCGCTCGGGGGCGGCTCGGTTACGACAGGTCCGCGCGGCGCCGACGCTGGCGCCAGGCCACGGGCCACCGCGGAGCTGCAGAGGAAAAGTCGGGGCGTTGACCTAAGGAATGATAAAGAAGGAACGAGGCCCCTCTTCCCGAGAAGTTGAACTTCGATTTCCCATCGAACACATAAGGAAAGCCTGGGGCAAGCTGTGAAACACCTAGGGAACGCGGAGCCCCTCCCCAACGAAAAGGGTTCCTTCTTCAGGGCCCCGACTGTAGCGGCCGTGCTTAAGCCAGGAGGGAAGCCCACCGACCCCGTCGGCGTGTGTGAGAGGCGCTGTTCCGTCTGAGCCGTCGCCGTTGCCGGCGCCGCTCCCCTCCTCTCCCTGGGCCTTCCCCCGCGAGCGATCCGGGCTGGCGGAAATCCGACAGACTCGTAACTGATTCGAATGAAGGCCCGTGCCATCGTTCCCTTCCCTGCTGGGGCGGGGGAGTCCAGTGGGGGGTCCCGGGCGGATTCCAGGAGGGGGGAGGAGGGAGGAGGGAGGAGGGAGGAGGGGGGGGCCAGGGGGTCCCCAGGGAGCTCGCCGCGGGGGTCCAGGGAGGGGGGGGGGGGCCAGAAGGGGTCCCGGGGAAGAGCCCCGAGGAGGCCCAGGGGTCGAGTCAGGAGGGAAAAAACCACACAGACACAATCAATCGTCGATTCCCCCGAAAATAAAGGAAATTTGGGAAGTAGGGGGGAAGACAAAAACCCAGAAAATATGGAACACTATTGGGAATCATTTTATTTGTATGCATTTATTTGTGTCACAGGGCCCCTTCACTCCTTTTCTAGGGGGCAAACAAACCTACCTCGCTTTTTACCACCCTCGCTTCCAAGAGAGACCAAGCGATGCCAAACGACGGCCTGTACTGGTCAGGCCGCTCGACGAGGACGCGCGAGGTGTAGTTTGGTTTTGCCTGGAAGCGAAAGCGGGGTACGTAATTCACGCCCCGATTTTCGAAGGGTCCCCCGTGCGGACAAGGGCACCATAGGGGAGGGTGGGTCACCTGGCAGACAGGGGAATCTCAGGGTCCCTCCCCCTGCCTCCCCCCTGTGGGCACGGGCGCGGCACCACCACCACCCCTCCTCCCGCCCCCACGGAGGCACCCTCCTCACTCTTCTCTGCTGTTGCCGGGTGCTGCGGATTTTCCCACGCGCCTCCAAGAGGCCTCGGATCCGCTCCGAGGCGGCTCCGAGTGACCACGGAGCTTCCCAAGAAGTTCTCCAAGAGTCGTATTAACAGAGCCCCAGAGGCTCCCACGAGAACTCAAAGAAGAGCTCCAGAACGTCAGCGTCACCGCCGCCGCCGCCACCGCCGCCGCCGCCGTCGTAGTCGTAGTCGTAGTCGTAGTCGTAGTCGTAGTCGTAGTCGTAGTCGTCGTCGCAGTCGTAGTCGCCGTCGCCGTCGTCGTCGTCGTCGCCGTCGCCGCCGCCGCCGCCGTCGCCGTCGCCGTCGCCGTCGCCGTCGCCGTCGCCGTCGCCGTCGCCGTCGCCGTCGCCGTCGTCGTCGCCGTCGCCGTCGCCGTCGCCGTCGCCGTCGCCGTCGTCGTCGCCGTCGCCGTCGTCGTGCGTCATGCGACGTGCGTTGAGTCGTTGTCGTCGTCGTCGTTGATGTCGTCGTCGTCGTCGTCGTTGATGTCGTCGTCCCCTGGGACTGCAAGACGCCTGCGCGTCGTCGTCGTCGTTCTTCGTCGCCGTCGCCGTCGCCGTCGTCGTCCTCGTCGTCGTCCTCGTCCTCGTCGTCTTCCTTGTGGTCGTCCTCGTCGTCGTCCTCGTCGTCCTCGTCCTTGTCGTCGCCGTCGCCGTCGCCGTCGCCGTCGCCGTCGTCGTCGTCGTCGGCACCGTCGTCGTCGTCGTCGTCGTCGTCGTCGTCGTCGTCGTCGTCCCCCTTCAGGGTTCGCGGCACCGGCCGCAACTCATTCCCAGTATGTCTAGGGCCAGGCCGACCGAAGCCTCATGCGAATTTCGACGGCCGAACTCGCGTCCCTCGGATCACTGACTAACGCGGGATGGGACGTGACCTAGCGGACGTCCGCGCTCGCCCAACACTCTCTGGTGGGCGGACACATACAGCAGCGCAAAACATTCAAACATACAAGACCGCAACCGCCAAGCCCCGAAAGCTGCACCGATAAAAAACACTGTTAGGAAACTGTTTGCTCATCAGCCAGGGGTTTCCAGCACAAGAGGGCAGAGGAAAGGCCACAGGACCCATATCCCCAAGAGGCGACCTGTATGTCCTGATCGCCCGCGAGAACGTCTCCAACATGCTTTCTCAACGGCCCACCAGAGCCCAAGAGGCTGCAAAATAATCGAACAGTTGCAATATAGGCAGGGGCAGGTACGCGACTCGTCCGAAGCGTCTTTGATATGATGGCGATGATATACTTTGCATCCGAATCAATCATGACTTCAGACGCCCAGCCTTTGCCGGGACTTGCGCGAATACCAGCACAATCCGATGCACAGTCTCTTTAAGGCTCCGTAGGCATGCCCTACAATATCTATCGAATTCTCACCTGTGAAAACTGAACTTGCACTTCTCAGTGAAATTGATTGTTTTCGATATATGTCCGGTGTGCATGTTGACCGAGCAGGACGCGTTGAATGTCCACGGCGCCCGTGGGTAGCAATCCTTGCAATGCGACACGACACACCACTGGTCTCCACTGCCAGACGTGCCCCCAGGATGGCACCTGCCGTCCACAAAAGGCAAATAATCAGAGCCATTCGATTCGTTTGTCTCTTCGTCGAACTTCAGCTCGCGACGAGGAACGCCGCTGGCGACGATCACATGCTTCAGGACCTGCTCGGTATTTTGCGAATGCAGCGACATCTTCTTCAACTTCGGATCCAACACTGGGTCGTTTGTAACCGCGAGCATGGACCGATAGGTTGCACCCAGAGTTTTCTCAAGGTACTTGCGCGGGAGTAACATGACCTTGTCCTGAAGACCACCCCACCAATCGCAATGCTTGAAAAGGACCTCCGTGATATTCAGAAGCTTCTCTGGCACCACCGGTCGCAACGCAAGAGTGTTGTCTCGAACCTTCAACACGACATCGTATCGGCCACCTGTGGACTTCTCGTGCTGTTGAATGAGATCGACACAATCCCTTTGATGTCTCATCTGGCTCATCACGTTGGCAATGTGCTTCGACCTGGCTGAACGGTTAGCGTAATTATCACCCGGGTGCTTGTCCTTGTACAGCATTGGCCACCTATCCAGTGCGACGTTTTCGCCCTTGTGGGGATCAAACCTGCCGCCCCTGAAGTAAGGTGCGAATGCCTCCTTCACTTCTTCCACTGAATAGGCAGTGCTGCCGCATCCCTCGCCCATGACGTTCGTCTCCTGGTTATTGAAAACTGCACCACCAACCTCAAGAGACAAGAAAAAGTCAACGTTGGTGAAATTGGCGATGGGTTCCGCGATGTTTCGAATTTTGCTGTCGATCTCCAGGCGGGACATTTGGCCCAATACGCACACCGCGACTCCGAGGCTGGAAGCTTCTGCACTGACCGTTCCTGTGAACACGACACCCCCTGGCAATCGACATCCTACTCTACCTTCATCTGTTGATCTGGGCTGGGCATCTTGGACAATTCTGTTTTTCCCCCATCCCGCAATTTGGTTGGGACCTCGTTTAGAATGGGGCACTGTTGGTCTCCATCCTCCTGCACCCCTTCCTCGTCTACCTCCTTCTCCTCCCCTCTCGTTGCTCGCTCTGCCTGGTCGCTGCCACCTGCACACCTGCGCCACTTTCATGGGATCCTAGGACGTCCAACAGAAGGACAACCACCCATATCAAGTCGGAACCTCGTGGCTCCCTGGGGGCTGCCGCCGGTGCAACTGTCGTCACATCCGTGGGCTCCTGGCGGGTCGAACGGAGCAAAGACCACCTGCACCCACTCAGAACATCTTGGGACGGTGAGGTGGCCCGACGTTCGTTGGCGAAGCGTGCTGCAGACACCTCGATGCATTTTTCTGCGAAGGCCCGTCCTGCTAATGGCCGACTCGTGTTTAGAGAAGGCTGCGTCCGTCCCAGGGCCGCAGCGTGTGCGCCCCACTCCAGAGAACAATCGCGCCAGACCCGGGGGGGGCCCCTGCGCGCCAGGGCCACTCGTGCAACACCCAGCGGCCCACGTGAGCCTCTCAACAGGCGAGGTCCCGTGCAGACCGATGCAGAGCACTTGCGAACAGGTCGCTGCCAACTGCCCAAGTTGAAGGGGCCCCAGGACACACAAACAGATAAAGACAACTGACAGGATCCCCCATAGGTTCCCATATCTTCTGGGTTTCTGTCTCCCCCCCCCTGCCCAGATGTTCCCATATTTTCGGGGGAATCGACGATTCACTGAGGCTGTGTGCTTCCTCTCCTCCTGACAAGTACGGTCCAACCCCAGGCCCCCGCAAATGCGAAGAGTGAGAGGGCGCGGGCTTAGTGGGCCCTGGAAGAGACAGGGCCGTTTTTTACCGGTTCCGTTTTGCCCTTTTTTTGCCGGTTCCTACGCCGTCTTTTTACCGGTTCCGTCGCCGTTTTTTGACTGGTTCCTGCTCCGGTTCCGATCCTGGAGCCGTTGTTTTGCCGTTTCCGGTCGCCGTTTTTTTGCCGCTTCCATCTTCAAGGGGCATTTTTTCTGGAAACGGTTAAACAAAACGGCCCTGCCGTTCCCGGGGCCCACAAAGCCCCACTGCCCAGATGTTCCCATATTTGCGGGGGAATCGACGCTTCCTGGTGGCCGCGTGCCTCCTTTCCTCCCGACAAGCACGGTCCAACCTCAGGCCCCCGCAATAAAAAAAATGTCATGTTCTGTGTTGTCTGATGATGCAGATTAATGAACCTAGAGAAGTATTTGCGAATGTTTTCTTAGATGCGAAGAGTGAGAAGGCGCGGGTCGCAGCAGGCGCCGATCGCGGACGGGTCGCCGGTGGTCCGCAGGAGGGTCGCCGGCGGCCCGCGGGGCAGCTGCGGGGGGAGCTGCGGCGGGCGCGGCCCGCTGGCGGAGCGTCGGCGAAGCGCAGGCGGGTCGTGAGGTGGGGCGCGGAGCGTGTCGCGGCCCCAGGACACACGAATAAATGCACACAACTAAAAGGATCCCCTACTCCAGATTTCGTAAGAAAAGGGGGGGGGTCTGGACCCTCCAAGACAAACCATTTCAGACCTCCCCCGTGGGAGAACCCTCCGAAACATCGTCCCCAGACCCCCCCCAGGCCCTCCAAGATAGCCTGGAAGAGACCCCCCCGAAATGAGACCCCCCTCCCTTTATTACGAAATCTGGAGTATATTTTCCCACATGTTCTGGGTTTTTGTTTTCCCCCCGCCTTCCCATAGTTTCCTGTATGTTCTGGGTAATCGTCGATTCATTGTGTCTGTGTGTGTGTGTTTTTCCCTCCTGAAACAAGGGCCAGGGAAACAAGGGCTTACCAGCCTCGAACGTATCCCTATCCCTGAGATTGACACGCCAAAAGGCGATGACAAGCTTAGGGATCCGCCCTCCAAAAATTTGGGAATCCCTAGGATTGGCATCGTGATGAGGCGGTGCCCAGCATAGGGATAGGGATATGTTCCATGCTGGTAACAGACGACGACAAGCACAAAAACCAATGAGAGCAATAGCCTCGGGACTCCACCGCAGCCCCGCGCGCAAGGGCAGGGTATGACCGCTAGACCCCTCATCCTGATATTCACTGGCCCTCCTCTGGATGGGTCCTTGTATTGAATACTTGCGAAAGTCCTTCTACCATCTCGCTGGGCCTGTCTCTCCTCCAGCGTCCTCCCTGTTCGCGCTCCTGCGGAGGCCCAGCGGAGTGGAACTAGCCTTCGCGCGCGTTGTGAGACTGCAAACGTTGTAACTGGTGCCACTCTCGGGAACCCCTGGGAGGTTCAGTTGAGCGGAGGGCCACCCGCATCCAGTTGGGACCTCGCGGCTCACTTGGGGCTGCCACTTGCGCGGATGTCGCCATTTTCGCGGGTTCCTGATAGGTCCACCGGAGCGGAGGACCACCCACATCAAGTTGGGAGTTGATACCTCGCGGCTCCCTGGGGGCTGCCAACTGCACAACTGTCACCACTTTCGCGGGGTCCTGGGAGGTCCACTGGAGCGGAAGGCCACCCGCATCCAGTCGGGAGTCGGGACCTCGCGGCCCCGTGGATGCTGCCAACTGCGCAACTGTCGTCAATGTTGTGGGCTACTGGTAGGTCCAACGGAGCGGAAGGCCACCGACATGCAGCCGGAAGAGTCCAAGGGCACACTGTGTTCTTTCGTACTGAGCGGTCCTGTTTGTAGCTGCCTCGCGTGCGTCCCCGGAAAAGTACTGTTCACCCCTGTGCCCAGATCGTTATAAGTAAGGTATTTCTGGTAAAATGTCGATCGCCGAGCCTTTGGGGCGACCGCTCAGCGCAACGATGGTCCCTGCGACGCCCAGGATGGTAGCCGCCAAAACGGCGGCAGTGCGTCTCTCGCAGTGCTGCTGTCGCTGGCGATCTAGCGGCTCAATGTGAGCGCCGATTCTCTGCGCGAACAACAGATCTTGCTCCTCAGACGAGGGCACCGCTTCGGGATCACTTCCGCTCGCGATGTTGCTGGCGGCTGCCCTGGACATGGCCTCCACAAAGCGACGCATGGACGCCAACGTGGCGAAACAGTCGCGTTCTGGCCAAGACTTCGCCGCTGCGCTCCCAGCGCCCGGGTCAAGCAGATACTCTTTTGGCCGTGGGAGGGGCCGCCCAAAAACGAAAACGCGCGCTCCCTCGCCCACCCTCATGTCACAACACCTGTGGGAGCGCGCAGGGATCACGACAATGAACGTGCTGCATGCTGGCCATATGTCGACTGCCAGCGGATCGCAAGCTGGGCACACGGTTGGGAAACCAAAAGGTACTGATACCGCTACTCTCCGGACCTCTCCTGGGGCGCGTTATGACTCGAATTGGACGGCGAACCCAACAGTGGCGACAAGAGCATCCGAGGAGGCCCAAGAATGCGAACGTGGGGCGTGAGCAGCGGTACGGGGACCCTGTCCTCCGCTGATACTGGAAGTCAACGGTTCAGAAAAACTTTTGGAGGGACGGTTCGGTGATATACTGACCCGGGTCAATCCAAACCTGGGTCAGTCAGGCTTTGCAGGATCTTGCAAGATCCTGCTGCGCCCTGCAGGATCCTGCACCGAGCCCTGGGTCAGTGCAGCCCCAGCTGTGCAGGATCCTGCAAGATCCGGCGCTCTGACTGACCCCCGTTCGCACTGACCCCTGTCGCTTGAAACCAGAACGATCCGAAACATATTCTCGCCAGCCCCGTGGCCCTCATCATAATAGCGGACCGATGTGCTCGGCCCTGCCGAGGGCTGGCCATCTGGGTCGGCCCCCCCGGGGCCGCCTGGTGGGGCCAGGGGAGGCCCGGGGGCTGGCTACTCGGAGCGGCGGGGGTGGCTGTTCGAACTGACTGGTCTGTGTCCCCACCCTCCTCCTCCTCCTCCTCCTCCTCCTCCTCCTCCTCCTCCTCCTCCTCCTCCTCCTCCCTCCTCCCTCCTCCCTCCTCGAAAGGCTTGTCTTTTGCGGCTCGGGGAAATCGCTGGGCCGATTTTGCGGCCACCCAGGGCAGGGACCTTCATGCGGTTCGGCAGGAAGATGCTGTATGTATGGAGCGGCTTTATAAGGCCACTCGTAAGTCCCTTGTCTGGAAGGCTAGGTCTCACACTAGATTTATGAGTGAAGCCGTGGCCCCAGGTCAGGACCGTTTTGAGCAACGACGTAAGGCTCGGACGGCTGCGGCCGCGCGTGCCAAGGCCCCGCCCGATCCTGGGATGCAGCATGTTTTCTTTAAGTGTAAGAATGGCTGGCGGTGCGCATCCTGTTCTAAGACCATTCGGTCGGATAAGCAGCGACAGATATTCGCGCGTCGCCGCTGTCCTGCCAAGATAACTTTATGTGCGAGGATCCTTCAGAGTGCTTCTGACACGGCTTCCAGGGAGGCTTCTACCACTGTGCACGTGCTGCCCGAGGATGGTGACCCGTTTATGGTCCCTGCCTCACGCGACGGAGATGGTGGAGGGATGACGTCGTCTCCGCCGTCGCCCTCGTCGGGAGTGAGGCAACTTCGCATTGTCCGTGCTCGCTTGGCTTCGCCCGTTGCCCGAAGGGTGAGAGCCAGGTTTCAGTTTCGATCTCAGATTTCTCAGCAGGGCATCGGCGTGCCAAATCACGATTTGGATGACATGAGCGCCCAAGAGGCGCAGTTTCACGATGAGATTGGTGGGGTTGAGTCTGGGCCGCCGTCGGAGTCGTGGGAGGGAGGATCCTTCAGTTTCGATGTTGGTAGAGCTCAGTCTGTGAGGGCTCGAGCTCCCGTCGTTCCTCTAGGGATTTCCTCTTCCTCCTCCGCCTTCGCTGCCACCCCTGCTGCGGCTGCGAGTCCTGCTGCTGCGCGTGCTCGCCCTCTTTCCCCCATCCCTGCCCGTGTGGTGCGGGCTCGCCTTTCTGCTCCTCCCCCTCATGACAGAGGGAGAGAGGTCAGCTTTGCGCCCGCTGACGACGGCATGCTGCACCAGGCGGTGCACGACTTCCAGGCGCCTCCTCCTCCGCCCGACTCTGTCGAGCGGCCCCCGAAGCTTCGTCGAGTGTTGGGGCCTAGGGGAGGTTCACGAGTTCCAAGTGCCATGCCGCAGTCTCCTCTTCCAGTGTCGGGAGATGTTTTACCCAGGAGCGCTCGTGGGCATGAGCTGCACGTTTCTCCTGGGCAGGTTGTAATTTGCTTATCGTGTGGGGCTATTAGCACAGGTGGTGCGTCTGCGCTGCTTGATTTGTGCCCCCCTCCTCCATGTAGTAAACGAGGGGCCTCCCATATTCATAGGTTCCAGACGAACCGACACCATGCGGACTTGCGTCGTCGTGAGGCCATTTCAGGACAGAGGAGGCTCCAAGATTCTGACCCCGAGGTGCACTGGCTGCAACTCGATTGATAAACTCGTTTATCTTTCCTACTCGAGCTTCCAATCTTTCCCAAGCTCGTTTGCCTGCCGCTCGCCCCGCCGTGATCCTTCGGTGGGCATGGGGTGAGCGCCTGGGCAGGCCACGGGGGAGGGCCTTGGTCTTCCCCCCGTTTTTGAGTGGCCGTTTGCGCGCCGCGCGACGGATCCCTCCCAGGCTGCGTACCCCTCCTCCCTCCTCCCTCCTCCCTCCTCCCTCCTCCTCCTCCCTCCTCCTTCCTCCCTCCTCCCTCCTCCTTGCAGTCTTGCAGTCCTGGGGGGCCCAAAACCGACGGACGATGACGACAGCGAAAACGACGGCGGACCGTGGAGGGCACGGGGGGGGCTGCGTGGGCGTCCTGCAGGCCTGGGGCGACGAGGGAGGAGGGAGGAGGGAGGAGGGAGGAGGGAGGAGGAGGAGGGAGGAGGAGGAGGAGGAGGAGGAGGACGACGACGACGCAGGCGGCCCTTTCTGGATGGCATGTGGGGGGAGAGGGGGGAGGGGGGCGAATTGGGGGGTGCTGCGCAGGCGGCTTCTGGTCAGGGAACGACGAAAACGACGACGACGACGACGACGACGACGACGACGACGACGACGACGACGACGACGACGACGACCACGGCCCTTGGCGGATCCTTGCGGATGACAAACGGTGGGGGGGCTGCGTGGGCTGCTGACAGTCCCGAGGGACGACGACGAGGAGGACAACGACGACGACGACGACGCCAACGCGCAGGCGTCTTGCAGTCCCAAGGAACGACGGCGACGGACGAAAACGATAACGACACGTCTTGCGGTTTTGGGGCGACGACGTGCACTCGACGGACGACGACGACGACGGCGACGACAAGAATGACCACAACGACGACGACGACGACAACGCGCAGGCGTTTTGCAGTTTCAGGGGACGACGACGACATCAACGACGACGACGACGACGGCGACGACGACGACATCAACGACGACGACGAAAACGACGACGATGGACGACGACGCACGATGCACGACGCACTCTGCACGACGACGAGGACGACGACGACGACGACGACGCCGACGACAGAATAACGACGGCAAACGCGACGCCACAAAAATCTATCCAGGGAGGTGGGGACAATTCAAAACAGTCTCGCCACCTCAGACTTTCTTCGTCTGCCCTAGAAAATTAGAAAGCGACCTCCGAGGGGGGGACATGTTTCATCGTCTGCATCCATGAACCCCACAAGCAGCACGTCATACGTCCTATTGGTCCCCACTTTCGGGCCGAATCTTCGGGATTGCCTGCTCCGTTCATTGCCTCCCTACTGCAAGCAGGCCCCGAGCAGGGCCTCTGGAGGAGACCGCCCTACACAAGCCCAAACTCCAAAGGCGAACCTCTGGGAGGGGGGGGGCCGCCCCTCGTCCGCGGCCGCCCCCCTCGCCTCCTCCCTTTTGATGGGCCGACCGACTTTGTTACCACCACTGCCAGAGGTAGGAAAAGGGGGGGGAGGAGGAGGAGGAGGAGGAGGAGGAGGAGGAGGAGGAGGAGGAGGAGGAGGAGGAGGAGGAGGAGGAGGAGAGGAGGAGGAGGAGGAGGAGGAGGAGGAGGAGGGGGGAGGGAGGAGGAGGAGGAGGAGGAGGAGGAGGAGGAGGAGGAGGAGGAGGAGGAGGAGGAGGAGGAGGAGGAGGAGGAGGAGGAGGAGGAGGAGGAGGAGGAGTGGACGTACCCTGAAGGCGGGCTCCCGATGACCGCACTAGACGCGAAGCGCCAAACGCGCAGCACCAACAATCCGCTCGGCTTCTGTATAGGTGAGGTGTGCCCCAGGAGGCACGGTATCTTTGGCTTTGTGGTAGATATGAAACGCTAAGGCCGTTGCCTCAAGCGTCTGGGCTCGACTCAGTTCACAGTCTTCCGTGCCATACTCCGAGGGACTCCCGAGGCCAAGCCAAAGCACGGGCTCCACAGGAAAGACGAGCCGCACCCAGCTCATGGCGACGTGGTGCCTCATTCGAAGGCAGCGGAAGTAGTGGCTGATGCTGTCGGAGCCTCCGCATCCAAAAATGCAGTCCCGAGAATGCCGCGAGACGTGCATCCGACACGAGGTGGTCCATCCTCCAGCCAAGGATTTCCACAGGAGGAGGAGGAGGAGGAGGAGGAGGTGGAGGAGGAGGAGGAGGAGGAGGAGGGGGAGGAGGAGGGGGAGGAGGAGGAGGAGGAGGAGGAGGAGGAGGAGGGGGCAGTTGAGCAGCGAAGCCCTCGCCACGCCCCGAACTCCACCCAGGTGCCGTCGGGCGTCGGCGCTCTCTTCGTGCTCGGCGCGCCGCTCGCTGGCCCGGACGCGCCCGAGCTCGAGGCCGGTCTCGAGCCAGAGCGGAGACAGGCAGCGGCGGGGCCGACGACGACGACCACGGCCCTTGGCGGATCCTTGCGGATGACAAACGGTGGGGGGCCTGCGTGGGCTGCTGACAGTCCCGAGGGACGACGACGAGGAGAACGACGACGACGACGACGACGACGACAACGCGCAGGCGTCTTGCAGTCCCAAGGAACGACGCGCGACGTCTTGCAGGGGCGGGGTCGACGTCGGCGAGGCTGGCGTGATTGCAGCAGTGAAGGGCTCGAGCAGCCGCCGCCGCCTCCTCCTCCTCCTCCTCCTCCTCCTCCTCCTCCTCCTCCTCCTCTCCGTCCTCCTCCTCCTCCTCCTCCTCCTCCTCCTCCTCCTCAGCAACGCATCAGGGGTTCAGCCCTGATGCGTTGCTGACTCGATCGCCGAAGTGCCAGCGGCCCACAACCAGAGGCCAAGACCAACAAACAGGATCGAGGTGTGCGGGAGTTTTTGGGTGCGTCGTTAAGTAGTTCACCCCCAAAGGATCCAGACAACGAGAATGCCAATATCATGCCGAACGCCTCGAGAAAATTGCCCGGCGAAGGACCCAACCATATGCAGCTGCGGGTAATGTGAGGCACGTGGGTATAGAAAGAGAGGAAAGAGCAAACGGACGGACTGGAATTCAGATCCTGGCGCGGC